TGTTTCGTTTTCCAAACTTAAAAAAAAGCCTTTCATAAAGAAGAAACAAGTCAAGGATATCAAAGGATCTGCCATATTCCAATATACGAAAGGCCATACTCAAAAATGTGTTCTAAAAACAATCACAAGTTGGATAAAATTGTTAAGGACATGCATTTTAATTAAAAGAGAATATTCAAGTGAAAACATTAAGGCTAAACCATTACAAAGCATTTTTGTTTATTTCCGAGCACCGAGGACAGTATTATCGAACAGCCCTCGCAGATATGGTAATTCAATTTCATTTCGGTTATTTGGAATATTTAAGTATTCAAAACTGAAATAAATTATTATTCTGAGGAATTTCTTCCGTAGAAAGGAAACTATGAGTATAAGTTTGAATAACACTTGTAGAATTAAATCCAAATTCCTCTGTCATACATTTACATTTTATATAATGAGTCTTACAAACAAAGACAATGTCGTTTCCTGCTGACCAGTACGTACTGATCGTGTAATCTATCTAATTTTTTTTCACTTCTTGATTATAGAAGGATAAATGGTTTTCATATTGCCCCTCATTCTTTTAACGTACGTTTTTAACTTTACTTGCCTCCCACTACGAAAATTATTTTTAACCATATCTGTTTCTTCATTAAAACAATCAGAGGGCGTACAAGGCGTGGACAATTCCGCGCTCTGAGACCATATGTTTCTCAATTTTCAAAATCAACGGAAAAGTTATATTTTTCTAAAATCATGTTCTCAGTATTGTCATCTTCAAAACATTTTATTATTGCATTTTACTGAACGACTTATCATTTGACAACCTTTTTTCAAAGTTGACAGTTAAGCAAGTTTAGTAGAAAATAGGATTACTAGAGATATAAAAAATGAATTTTGAACATGAATGGGTCAAGTCTCCATTCTTCGTTAACGCTTAAATGATGGAAACGTAAATGTGAAATCTATTTCATTTGTCCAAAAAATGGAATCTGCACCCATTCTATATGAAAATCGAACTTTTCTGAAACAATGTACGCTTCAACAAACCCGTGCATTTAAATCACACTGATAGACTTCTATAATGAATATACTTCGTAGTGTAGTGGTTAATGCCGTCGGTCTTGTTCCAAACCCTAGCTATGGAGAGAGTTCGAATCATACGTGAAGCTTTTTTCTTTTTGTTTTCAAATATCTTGAAACATGAGTCAAAAAATGATTTATTAATAAAATACTTAAAACGATGAAATACAGAATTAAATGTGTAAAAGGTGATATAAAGTATATAATAAAAAAATATCGCTTTCATGAACTTTTAGAAATGAGAAATGTCTTTTCTCAGAGCGGGGGACTGACATCGCCTTGTACGCCTCCATTCTTTTAACAATTCTTCCTTGCACGACGGAGTCAGCCATATTCCCCGTCTATATATTGAAGTCATTCTCGTTTTTTTCATATCGTGATATCAAATAAGAGGCATATATTAACTATTTATTGAAAAAAGTATGTTTATAGTATATGTCAATATGAATGCAAAATGCGGTAAGGAAAACATAGAAACAAAATATGGAGATAGCGAATAATCAAACTAAAAGAAACAACATTAAAACAACACAAAATCGGGCGCAGAGGAGTATCATCAGAGGTTGGATTTTTAAATTGATTTTATATTGTTTAACGCCAAGTCGGCAATATTTCAGCCATATTTTGGCGGTCAGAGGTTGGATCGGGTGCCATTGAAAAGTAAAAATCCCCTTATGGTTGGTCACAACCATCGTGTGCTCTTTGTCATGTCAGATCATGAAAACGGAAAAGTCCGTAGACAAATAAGTGTTTAAATAGTTGCCTGACATTATTAGTTTGGAAAACGTCATTCTGGAATCGACTTAATGATCGATTGTTCATGTTGACAAGGTCATTGCGTCAACCAAAGAACTTGAAAAATGACGTCTTTAAACGAGACTCTTGATATTCCTGTTTCATCACCTTCTTTGTTAATAGCATGCCCTGATTAAGAGAATGTTCGTAGGCACAGCATGCTCTTGCATATCTGATCAAATGGGACATATTAATTCCATATGAAGGTGATAAAGCTATATTGCTACATACGTGTAAAGAAGGGAAGTTGATAACAGAAAAGTTGAACATCACGTTTATCTGTCAGTTTCCCTTTAATATGTTCTGCTAGTAAAATACCTACTAAATTGTTTATAACTTCAAACACATACATTGTAATTAAAAATTCACATTTTCGTTGCATAATTGCATTTTGGGAGCCAATTTTATTTAGATTGCATGGGTAGAAAACTGACGTTTAGCTTCATTTTTTACAAAAAATAATTTTTTCTATGGTTGGTGATCATTTTGTGACGCTTTGGATCATAATTCCGCTTTAAACAGGCACTAAAATTAAAAGTCATGGGTCTTTTGGATGAGACCTTAAAGCTGATCGTAGGTTCCATGTCACGGAACGCATTTGCAAGATAGGAATTCCTCCCTGTTAATGGCCCTTAGTATCTATAACCAGTACAGGTCTAAATTTGAAGACTAAATGGTATACAGTGACATTCCAAGTGAATGAAAAAATTCTCAAATGGGACGTAAAACTACATACTGCCACTGATATGTATTTAAAATTAAGATGTTTACAAATATTGTTGGTAAAATACTCTTTTCTTTCTCACGTACATAATACATATACAAGAATTAGAAAGTGTTCGTACTTGGAACTTAGTAATACATTTCATTCCTGCGTGACATGATAGTTTCCTTTGAGCAATGAAGGATAATGTTAATATTTTTTTATGTTTGAAGACTATTTATTGGTAATTTATGGTTGAGTAGGCTGTAAAAATAAATCAATTTCATTCAAAGAAGATGCCCATGGACCACATCGCTCACCTTTTTGCAAAAAAATCAGAATTTGTATCAACTTCAATTGTAAGGCTCGTTATTTTAATTTCTTTATTTTGAAAGAAGTTAGATTTCATTCTTCATCTGCAAATTGTATATAATCGGCTAATAGTTCACATTCCAAGAATGGAATTCTTCAAAATCACATCTCAGTCTTTGATCTAGAACGCAGTATAATTGCTGGATTCCATATCTGGTTTACATCACTTTTGGCTGTAGAACAGCACATCTGAAGTCTCTACTTTACAGCAGCCTAGTTTAAAGTCATCATTTCGTAAGTTCTATGGTCGATTCAATGACCTTGTCAGCAAATACAATTTATCATTTATTGAGTCAAATGCTGACTGACGTTTTTTATACTTATTGTTAGTCCATTATTTATACACTGAATTGAAGACGGATTTTTCCGTTATTTTCCGATCATGACAAGGAGCACACAGCGGGTGTGACAGGTCGGTAGGGGATGCTCACTCCTCCATGGCACCTGATCCCACCTCTGATGTTTTGGAGGTCCGCATTTGCACTGCTCCTGTTTTGTATTGTTTTATGGACTTTTGATCTTGAATACTGCTTGTTTTCTCCATATGTTTCACTTTACAGGACTTGGTATTTTGTTAGGCATAAAGACAGGCGATTGGTAGGCAATTTACTGGACCCAACAAAATATCTTTGTTAAGGATTGTTTTGTTTTTTTTTTTTTTGAGTTTTGGACTTTTAAAACTCATATTGACTGTTAGAAAATTTAAAATCACATTTTTTTTCAAACGTCTATAAAATCAAAACGTATTACTTTTCTACATTTTATACAACCATTCCATATGATAAAATAAATCAACAAGATTGGTATGGAAATACTGCATTTGGGTCACTTTATCACAAAGAACATGTACTTTAAATCAGGTTCATTTTTAACTGTGATTAATGAACCAACCTCATGTGAAATACTAAACTTGTTGTTCATAATCTTTGGCTTAATGAAATATATTAGATTTACCCTAGATTTAATTCTTTGTAGAAAATGTATACTCCTAACCCACAGTTAAATTGCTTTTGGGTCAAATGATGGAGATTTGGATTTCAAAATATTATTATTGTCAATTATAGCACTTAATTAGACCTCTGTGGTTTAATGGGGGGGGGGGGTATGCATATTATATATTAATATGCATATAAAATGTTGATATCCCCAACACACACAGTTTAATTTTTGGTTAAGATGGGTTTCTGAAAATGGATGCCAAATATTGGGATGTAAAATCTTGAATCCCATTGTATTTTATTTGCTTATAAAAGAAGTGTTCAAATATGATCACTATCAAATGTTAACAGTGTTCTGTTACAAATTTATTCTTTTTATTTAGCTTGGAGGAAAAGGGTTTGAGATAACATTGTTGCTGTGAACTATTGAACCCTTATAAGACTACATGTATAATAACAGATAACAGAAAAGGGTGCTAATATAATTGACATGAAATATTGTACTATATTATAATTTTTTGTATGGGTAGGGAAAGTTAGATAACGTAGCTACAAAATATTGAACAACTTAAAGACTTCATCATTTAAGAGGTGGGCATCATTCAAAATATCATGCCTATAAAATGTTTAAACATATAAACAATCAAAACTTTCTTTTAATAATAAATTATTGGAGGGGGGGTCATAATACATTTACTAAGGCAGCAAATATTTGAACAATTTCAAAATTCACTTCATGATGTGTTTTCATTTCCTCATTTATAATATACTGTAAAATCATGTTTTCGTGTAGTCAAAATTTCGAGGTTTGAGGAAAAAATATTGCTTTGTGGGGACTTGATTTCCGAATTGGGGAATGTTTCATAGTAATACATATGAAATTTAAAATTTCATGGTGGTCATAAATTTGTGGGTCTCTCCAAGCCCCCAAAACAATAACTTTAAATCCCCAACAAAAAGTAGTAAGTTCACAGTAGTTGATAATGAGGACTCATTTGCTTTAATTGCTTTATAAAAAATTCTAACTTATAATGAGTAAATTCAGAGAAGGTAAATGTTCATCTTAATTCAAAAACTGGTATCTTATACCATGGCATTATGCTTTTTCTATCTAATTTTTAACTTACCTGATTTGAGCTTTTTTCTAAGATCCCGATGAACAGATTTTACAAAATCTGCTAGTTTCTTCTTTTCTTTCATTTCTTCACTCATGGCTTCTTCCTTCATAACTATCTTGAAAAAGTAAACAGTAAAACTAACATTATATTGTATGTATAACAAAATAAGTAGTACAGGTACAATGCTTTTACCGGGAATATCTTATCACGCAATTTACGGTACTGTAAATCAATTTTTATTCGCGAGAACTTTATTTTCGCGTAATTACGCGAGACGGTATGCTCGCGAAAATTTCATTCTCACGTATAATAGAATTCATTTAGATTATATAGAGCAATGACCACAATTTGTGAAAATTTTGTCTCGCTAATAAACAGTAAATGACGATCCCGCAAAAATAAGGTGTCGCGAAAATAAAGTGATCTACAGTATTCTTTTCTGATCAGTTATACTGTATATCACCACATTTTACCAACAGTTTATATTGATGAAATACTAGGTATTTGATATTAAACACATGTTAAATAAAATAAGAAAGACAAAATTTTCAATAATGCTATATTGATGGATATATGTATATATGTGCTAATAAAAATGCCATGCAGGAATAATTTTTTTTGCTAAGAGAACATCTTGTCTGATTATGTTTAATTAAAGATCTCATATGATTAAAAAGTGTTTATGGTATGTATGATGAATCAAATACTCTTTTGTATTTTATAGTAGTATTTACCTGTGACAATACCATTCTAAATACACTATGATTTTTTCTTATCCATAAAGTTTGACCTACTATCAAAAAAAAAAAAATTGTTTTAAATTGATCATTTTGAAAAAGAAAAGATAGGGCATTCATATTATACATGCATGTATATTACCTGTGATAAGACCTTTCCAATTGTATAGTGACTTTTGACTCTGTGACCTTGACCTTGAAGTTAAACTTACTTTTCAAAAATGTGGTGTTTCCTTATAACTTTTGATTGAGAAGAGATATAATTTCACATTTGACATGCACATTACCCATAACAGTTGTTTCCCAACATGCAATGATTTTTTATCCCTTGACCTTGATGTTTTACCTAAATTTTAAAAAACTGAACTCTCCCAAAAGGTGATTAGGCTACTGAGTAAAATGTAGGAGAGTTAATGGAAGACTTTTTGCATAGAAAACGTCGTTTTTTGACCCCCATTTGACTCCCTGGGACAAAATGAAAATTCCGAAACCTTATTGCACATCTACAAGACACCACCAACCATCTCCCAAATGATGATTAGGCTACTGAGTATAATGTAAGAGGAGTTTGGGAACAAGGGGCTTTTTGCCAAAAAAACATCATTTTTTTTACCCCCAATTGACCCCCCCCCGGCAAAATCACAATTCCGAAACCTTATTGCACATCTACAAGACACCACCAACCATCTCCCAAACGATGATTAGGCTACTGAGTAAAATGTAAGAGGAGTTTGGGAACAAGGGGCTTTTTGGATAAAAAAAAAAATCATTTTTTTCAACCCCCATTTGACCCCCCCCCTGGCAAAATCAAAATTCTGAAACCTTACTGCACATCTACATGACACCACCAACCATCTCCAAAAGATGATTAGGCTACTTTGTAAAATGTAGGAGGAGTTCAGGGAAGAAAAGTGTGACAGACAGACGGACAGACATGAATAACAACTAACAATAATATACCAGAATTTTCCTTAGAAAGTGCGGGTATAAACAGAAAGTGGATTTACATGTAACAAGCGAGGAGAAAAAAGTATGGCTAGACTGGGAATTGAACCTCAGTCCTGGGACCCAGGCTGCATCACAAGTCAGGTGATCTACATATGAGCTTTCCAGGCCGTTATCCATGGTCAAAACCATTAGGTAACATTTCCTCCCATCTTAATTATATTGTCACAGCCCTTGAAGGTGCAACCCCCAATTACTTATCTGCCCCTTGCAGGACTTTCACCTGAAAGTTAAGGGGGTATTCAATGGCATCCAATCTTAACAGGACAGGAAAAAAGTTTGGCTCGACTGGGAATCGAACTTAGGATCCTTGTATCACAAAGCAGGTGCTCTGTGGGCATGATGGGCTTTTCACAAATTGTATGGTTAATGTATTAAACGACCATATTTGTAAATACAACCTATAATTTTGTCTGACAATTTTAATTCCATTAATGATAAGCCAATGCTTTTATACTGAATTCAACACCATAGTTCTCTGTATACTTGTTCAATATATAGGACTCAGTGCAGATACATCATTTAAAAGGGGAAGCTTCCACCTCCCAGGCACCTGATCCCAACTCTAGTGTTTCCAGTGGACTGTGTTTCTTTCTCTCTTCATTTGTTTCTTTTACAAGATTGAAGACATTTATCACTATTCCTTATTTCAATTTTAACATTAAAATCACAGACTAATAGAGTAACTTAATCTACCATCCCATTTTATTTATTTTCCCGTCAATAATAGATAGCACTCCAAAGTTGTCCCCAAAATCGTCAATCTCACTTCGAACTTACTCAATTATACGTATATACAAAATGTTTACCACAATGCTCTCCTTCTTTTCAGGAACTTTCTTGCAATAAATGTGTTCTTGTCTGTAGACAATAAAGTGAAAATGAAAGTAAGGTAGTTGTATATACTGCAAAATACATGATGACAACTTGCAGAATTCCGGAAATTATACAAATGATTAAATAAAGTATTTTTTACCGGTTTCCATTTTTTCAGTATATATTAATTAGATGAATGAACAATTGTGTTGATTTTTTAATGATCTTTATCTGAAATATTTTAAAAATGCATTGTATTTTCATTTATTTTTTTTTTAAATTTGCATTTTTTAAAAGGATTCCGCTTTAAGAATATCTTAAGACGATGTGATCTGAAAAGTTTCTTTAACGTAATTATATACCGTCTTCATTATTGGCATTTTTTCCACGAACATTGATATTTTACATCTTTTGATAACGCTTCGCAAAATTCGCCTCATCCGTCTGCCTTTGTTTGTTTTTTCACTGTTTACCCAGCAGGTGCTGTGACGTCACCTGGATCGAACCGTGTTGCTACTTTAAATAACAAAGTGACTTTACGCGAAAAAATGGGTTAAGAACATTAAAAATATATCAAATTGGGCTTGATTTCAATAACAGAAGGAATGGCTTTTCATTAAGTTTTTCAGAATCATACAATCAGATTTATCATTCTGACACACAGTAGATAACCTGCTTCCGTTAGACAGATGTTCACGCGTATGAATATGTTTTTATTTACGATTGTGATTAGCCCCGGCAAAAAAGTGTGCTGTTTGCATGCATGATAATTTCAACCGCATTATCTGGGGTGAATAAAGAACATTACAAATTTTGGGAGGTAAGGTTATATTTTTACTGTACTTATAAAAACAATTGGATATTTTATTTTAGTTGTTAATTTTTCTGAAAGTGTGGCATTCATAAAACGAGTCGTGACCTCATAGTACCAATATGTTGGTCAGTAAATGTAAACATAGCATGTGTTTCCTCGCGCCCACATGCAACATCCAGGCGGCCAGGCAGGTGCGCTTCCGGAGGGACGGGGCCCAGAGCGCCAAAGACTGAATCCAAGGATATATTTTATCTCTGCATTTTCTGTTACTGAATTAGGAAAAAAGTGATGATGTAGGCTTTTCATTACACGATAATCGATTAATGCAATGAATATTTCATGTGTTTATGACGGAGACTGCAACAAATAAACAACTGCCGATAATATAATTATACAGGAACTTAGCAACAGAATTATTGTATTAATCCACTTCAAAATTTACATTATTTTGGTCGTAAGAGGCGTTATTTACAAGTTAAAGTTAAACTGAAAGAGGTCTTTGAATATGCAACATATTTATGCATAGATACTGATAGGCTAGTGCATCATATTGGATTAGGATATAAAATTTGTACAAGTTTTTCTTCCACTCAGAGACATATATGTCTCTGGAAATAATATAATTTTTAAAGAATTAACTTTTGATATTCTTAGACTTAATTTTTTTTAGGATTCAGGATGAATCAATCAGTTACAAATTATTGGTTCACATAAATATTGTAATCTATAACATTAGACATGTTAGAGCTGAAACGGAAGTTCGAACATTCGCGGGAATGAATAGTTTTTCACGAATATTCGAATGGAAAATTTGTATTCGGATATTCGGTCACATGTTTAATACCCGTATTTCATGCAATAAATAATTGTATATCCACAGTGTTTTTGATCATGGTGGAAAAAGAAGCATTTCTCTCCAAACGAAAGCAAATACATGTATAAGGCAGGTTGTAAGCTTTGTCTACATAGTACTATTGGCCTAATAAAGGCACGACGTCAAATTTATTTAATCATCTTCAAGCCAAACACTCATCAGCCTCATGCATCTCCATTCTAGGCCTATGACGATGACCGCCATGATTTTCACTATTGAAAGTAATGAAAGATTTATATTGTGCGGAGAAAAATATTCTGGATTAACAAATAGTATCGATTGTACAGCCTCATAAATAATTGCAGGAATCATTTGTGAAAAATATACATTATGTTATACTTTTTTTGAGAATATTATATTTAAAATTTAAATATAGTTTTAATAAATTTACAGGACGTTTCTGCAAACGGACCGATTTCTGTTTTATAAATATAACAGTAAACCATGGTGAGCACCTGCTGTCTGGTTTGGTAACTGAGCATTTTACGTAATGGAAATGCAATACAGTCAACTAATTTTAAGAAGTAAAGAGGCTTATGATTTTTGATAAAGATTTTTTTTTTCTAATTTAGTTTTTTTGTTGAAAATAAACGTGAGTCTTAATTAATGTAAATTTTACATGTCAAACGACTTTGAACAGACGTTTATTTCTTACACGGTCAGCTATCTTAAATACATAGATGAATTAATAGTAATAAACAGTAGGATTTGCAAGTATATGTAAAGGCATAATAACTCCTTTATTAAATTACCGAACGTTCGAATATGAATCGAATAACAGTCACGAATATTCGAAAATTGATTTATATGGTATTCGTTTCAGCTCTAATGTAATGTAAATTAATATGTTATTATAACATATTAATTTACATTACATGATTAAAGTGCTAATAGAGACTTATTACCATTTCCCCTTTTGGAAATATATATTGTATAATTTTATTTTAAAACATACATGCAGCGTTACATGTGTAGACACTGAGACAGACAATTTTTTCAATGACCTTAATCATGTTTATGTGAAAATTCAATTTATATAGCTTAATTTTATATGACTCAGAGGATATCAAGATGAAAATATCAATATAACCATGTGTTTTAACCATGTGCACTGGTTTGTGTTAAATTTTTGTAACAGAAAATCAGGCATCTTTTTTCTTTGTTTAATACTGAACATTTTAGGATTGAAATGTGAAGTGAATATTTTTATAATTGAAACATTATAACACTTAACTGTGATTACAGGATTGATCCCAGGGTTCGTCGTTAACATTAGTCCGTTAGTCTCAGACTAATACATTTTCATTCGAACTAATAAAATTTGTGGCTGATTAGTCTGAACGAACTAATAAAGTTTTCTGGGAAAAAATAAAGAATTTACCGATGTACAATTATCAAAAACTTTCACTGGAAAACCCCGTACGTATTTTTAGCTCTCTAGCTTCTTGGTGGGATTAGTTCGGTAATTCTGAGTCAATTCGGTGCTTAATTTTAGGACTCACTGGTACGAAATAAAACATTTTAGCAATCATGATATAGTATGACACATAAAGGAAGATGCCGGATGTTTGGATGATGTAATCATGTAAAGAGAAAAATAAATGAGATCGGGAATACGATGCTAGTTCCTGATCTCACGATTTCAATGAATCTTGGTATCAACATTTCACGCAAATGCTTTATTTATTTCAAAATACGTAAAAAAAGTACATTGAAATGTTTATTCTATTCATTTACTGATATTTTTGATGGACTCATAAAATCGCCTGCGGACTAGTAAAGGTAAAGAAGCACTAGTCCGGCCAGACAAAAGCCTAAAAATGTTAGTGTCGAACCCTGGATCCAATAACCTGGGACTGGGGGAATCCCCACCTGTAATGACGTAAACCCCAAATTATTCTGTACGTATTCTCCCTCAAACCTCTGTAAGGGGAGTCTGATGTTCATTCACCCTCCCTTTGCCCACTCATATATTCTAATTCAATTTAGGATAATCTTTCAATAAAAAAAAAAATTTATTATTCAATCAAATGCATGCAGTCATTATATTTCTTGGAAAAGGGGGAGGGGAGGTGGACAGAGATGGCTAGTTAACTTATTGTATGTATAGCAGAGTTGACTCCCTTATCAGTTTATCAATAAACCTTTAATAATTTTAATACTTTTTCCATAACTGGAGGAATATTTTGTTTATTTAGATGCAAAATGATAATTTCATAATCATTGAAATGCATTATTATCATGATATGTTATTGTATTGTATCCTAGCACAAATATCAAGACCCATATACCGTATAGCGGGTTATTTTAGCGGGGTGCTAATTTTGGCTTATTTTGGCGTTTTGATGGCAGCCCGCTAAAATTTTAATCGCTAAAATAGTCAGTTAACAGTTAACTTAGTCTTCGTAGTGTTCATTGCAAACAGATGAAACCCTGTGTCCGCTAAAATAAATTACGCCAAAATTATTGGCATACCTTTCAGCAGGCAAAACGCCAAATTTTACACCCGCCAAGAAAACCCGCTATACGGTATCACTTAACACAAGGAAATCTGAGGTTAGGCTGGTTCGTCCAATATTCAGTTGAGTAAATTAGCTCGTTTTCCCAATGAGCTTTTGGAAATATATGACAGACTTGACAATACATGTATATCAAACTTTTAATTTTTCACATTTTAAAAAATGAATACGTATCCTCTTGGAAATCATGTCGCCCGCGTGGCGCAGTGGCTAGAGCATCTGATTTAGAGTCGCCAAGTAAGGAGTTGATCGATCCTTACGTCGCCGGTTCAAGTCCCACTGTGGGATGTGGAGACCAATCCTTCAGATGAGACCATATAAACCGAGGTCCGTGTCACAGTAGGTGCTGGCAAGAAAAAGATCCCACCCTGCTCAATGGCCCTGAGCGCCGAGCACAGGACAAAATTTGCAGCTCTCCACCGGCAAGTGTTGGCTTCTCCATATGAGTGAAAAATCTCAAGATAGACGTTAAACAATATATAATCAATCTTGAAAATCAAAGTACTGGAAGTACTTAAAGATGATCTTTTATTGTCAATTACATTAGGCCAGGTAAAATTAATCTTTAGATTCTCATCCTAATTTGCAAAAAAATTGGGGCGGAAATGTTTATTCTATTTTATTTTTTTTTTTTTATAATTGTTAATTTATATATAGGCCTAAGTATCAACAAAACAATGGACGCCCCGTACACATTTTTTTCATCACCTTAATGCAAATATGAATATATTTAATTCTTCTCATATTCTTTTAGATATTTAAAGAAAAGTTTTGCTTTAAAAGTTAAATATTTATTGTTAATTAACAAATTATCAAGTACACATTATACGGCACA